GACAGGGGACTACGGAGGTCTGACACTAAAGTGGCAATCCCTGGGCACCAAGGCATGGCTTCCCTGCCTTTCCCAGCCTCATTGCAAGAAGGCGCAGGTGTACATCCACTTCTTGCCCACCTTCTGGCTGTTACATCTGATTGCACTTGATTTACTTGCTGCCAGAGCAAGGGCTGCTGTGGCTGGGGAGCTCTCAGGGCCTCTCTCTGTCTGAAGTAACCTCAGCTGCATTCTGGCTGCAGCAAACCATCCCACACTGGGGACATCCCTTAGGAGATCCCCCTGAGACCCCAGCAGTGCTTGCTCCAGCTGTGGGGTCCCTCACCTCCCTCCTGGCTGGGAGCTGGTAAGCAGCAGGGCTTGCTAGGTCTGTCACTGCATTGCAAACCAGATGTGCAATCACGACGCAAGGCTCATTCCAGCTCAGCACATGTAATGCTCCTATGATGGGTAAAGCATCTCCTGCTGCCAGCCTTCAGCGGGAGCACAGGATCTGTGCTTCAGGGTGGGATTTCAATGACTCTGAGCCAGACATTGGCCACCGCAGCCAGGTAAGGAGTAAAGGGAGGGGGCTGCAGAGCAGCACTGGGAGGCAGGGAAGGGGTCTGGGCAGGAGAGTTCACACACACACACACACACACACGCAAGCATGCCTGAGCCCAGCTATACCCTATGCTGAGCCCTGGCAGAGGGGAGGGCAGAGTCCTGCGGCTCAGGGGCTTGGCTGCAGGATGCATGGGACTGCTCCTGGGTCAAGCCCTCGGGCAGGACTGCTGCCCCTGTGATTCCTCTGGCTGCAGGTCCTCCCTCTGCCCTGTGAGGCAGGGGCTGGCAGTGACCTCCCAAGTCTGGGCTCTCCTCTGGGGTTGCGCCAAGCAAGGATTCTTGCTGGGGCACACAAGGCTACCTGCCCTGGCCTACCCTCTTGCTGGCTCAGGCCCCAAAGCAGCCAGCCAAGCTCTGTCTCTTCTCCATCTGACTTGAATCACAGCGAGCAAAGGTTTCCCTGCACCCTGGGTATTTGGGGCTGGTCTGGAGTGGCCCTTCCCAAATGCTGGCTGGGTGCAGAGGTGGTTGCATCGCAGCGCTGTGTGTGCCTGTGGCAGGGTGATGTGGGCGCATACACGTGTCTGGTGCAACCATCCCTCCTGCCACCCCATCGTGTCTGAATGTCTTCACGGTGCTGTGGCTGTCCCTGGGGATGTGTGTCCCTTGGTGCCTCTGACTGCTGCTTGGAGCTTGGGGTGGTCCTCCTCATCCCTTCCTCTGGTGCCTGGGCCCCCTCCTGTTGCGGTTAATAATTTGCCTTTCCCAGCAGAGCCTCGAGATCCCATAAAAGCACATTGTGGAGAGCCCTTCGCAAACACCAGGGCAAGCCTTGTCCGCTGCAGCATGCTGTAAGAAAACACTGGCCTTACGCTGGTGGTGACTTCCTTGCTGGCTTATCCCCACCTGAGGGTCTGCCTGATTAGTCAGCTAGCTGATTAGTGTCAGGTAAGGATGGGAACTCTCCAAATGCCCAAAGGTGCCGGTGCTCCCCAGGGAAGCCTCTGGAGCACTGGGGCAGAGGCTGGTCCAGAGCTGACTCTCCCAGCTGAGGAACCCTGGTCCTGAGAGCCAGCCTATCCATCTCTGCTTGGTGTAAGAAAAACATCAATAAACCATGTTGTCCTGTGAATACCAGCAGCAGCAGCAAATGGAGAGAAGCCTGAGGAAGGCTGAGCAAAGAACCCGTTATCTCACGAAGGGCCATGTGTAAGCTGCTGTTTTTGCAATGCAAGAGCAGGGAGTGGGAGGAGCGGTTAATGTTTTCCCAGCAAGGGGAAACTCCCGGGTGGGAATAGCGCTGTGCCTTGGAAACAAAGCCCTTCACCAAACAGGGCAGTGCCTGTGCAGCCTCATCTCAGCCGGGTGATGCTGAGCAGGGTACAGGCTCTGCAGAGGAGAACTGCTCCCAACAGGTATGGGAGCGATGAGCTCCTGTCCAAGCCCTGCACGAGCACGCGGGGAAGCTGAGGCTGGGGATGAGCTCAGGCTCACAGCCTCTGCCTGCACGGGTGGGCTTCATGGGAAGTGCTCCCCATGCCCTCACTGCCCATCCTTCTGGTTGCATTCAGCCCGCAAGTACCCTCTTGCCCCAGGTGCACAAAAGGACCGGGAGTGCAGGGGCAGGAAGAAAGCAGAGTTCTCTGGCTGGGGAAAAAGCTGAAACAGGATGGGAACAGTAAGGCTTTGGGGAGGTGAGTGGGAAATAAGAGAGAAAAGGCTTGAAAGACGCTTAAAGAGATGCTCCCTGCTGAAGACGGAAGGAAGAGAAGATCCACTCTGCTGACATAAATAGAACCTGGAGTGCTGGGTGTAAGTGGGAGCCAGCTAGCCTTTAGCATGGGCCACTAAAGCCACTGCTGGCAATCTGGGATGTTGTCTCCCTTCCCGTTCTGAGCTTCCCAGCATCAGCATGCAGAGCACTAGAAGGGAAGGAGCTGCCACCAGCAGCCAGGGCCAAAGGACAGCAGGGCTCGGTGTCAGAGACATAATGGGGTATGCAAGGGTTTGAGGGGCTCTGTTATTGCCTCAGCTCTTTCGGGGCCTGACAACACACTGTACTGCTGGCCTGGAGCACTCTCCCTGAGCGATTTTGGATGTGCAGAGCATAAAACTTAAAACCCCTCTGGGCTGAAAAGGCAGTACCATGGGGAGGGAAAACCCCTCAGGCAACACAGCCTGTCAAGAGTGGGGAAGACTGAACTGGAGTCCTGAGGCTGCTGACTCTTGGCTAGGCAGCACTGCTTAGGGAGCTGAGGTCCCTGCCAGCGTGCCCAGAGCCTGTACCCAGTATTCTCAGACGGCTTGAATTTTTCCCCATGTACCTAGTGCCTGGTGCCTCGATTCCCACCAGAAAGCAGGGTGCTCGGCTCTGCCGGGCAGGCTGGGGCTCCATTCCCAGCAGCAAGGAGTTGCTGCGGTCACAGCCTTGTGCTTCCTACCTGTTGCTCACATGCTGGTGAGCTCTGCCTGCGCAGCGCAGGCACCGGAGCTGTGGGACACGCCGCTCCCATGCCATGGACAAGATGGTGAAGCATTTGTACCTGAGGTATCGGAGCCATTTCATTGCAAATACAGAGGGAGCACAGTTAGTACTTATTTCCAGAGTAACAGCTCCAGTGCCCCAACCCTTGGTCTGATCCTGTGTGTACAAGGCAGGTGCTGGCAGTCCCGGGAAAGGAACCCCACCAGAGAAACCCCAGACCTGCAGAAATAGCTCTCTCTGCTATCCCAGCATCTCCTCCCCCGCTGGGCCACGGGTATGCTGGAGGGGCAGAAAGGGATGCGGTGGAAGAGCTGGAGGAAAGCTGCCTGCTGAGCTCTGCCCTGTGCTCCAGGAGCTGCAGGTGTCTGTGCCACGGCTCAGAGAAGTTCAGCCTCCAGCCTGGGTTGCAGTCTTCCTTATATCACTTTTGGTGATGTTCGACATTTGTTCGTTCCGGCTGTAAAACCTCTCCTGGCTCTACACCAGGGATTTTCTCACCTCAGTGCCTTAGCCGGAGCAGAGCTAACTGTTGGAGGATGTGCAGCTCAGACACGTCGGCCTTCGTGATTAACGCGCTCTTTGCTCCGGGCATGCTGCGTGGCAGGAGGGGTGGGAGTTCAGCTCCAGCTGTACGGCCCCCCGAGCAGCCCTTGCTGCCGCAGAGAGAGGTCGGTGGCCCGTGCCCCGTTGCGCAGGGCCTGCCTTCAGAGGAGGGTGGCTTTAAACGGTGGCCGTAGAGAAGCCAAATCCTGATCTGCTGGCCTGGGCCTGGGCGTTTGGGACCAGGAGTGCGGCGGGCAGGAGGATTTCCACGGCTTGTGCTCGCATCGGAGCGGTGCTCTGAGCACTAGCTGAGACGCCGGCCCTCCTGTGCATGCCCAAACGCCGTGAGCTCCCCGTTCCCGCGCGGCTCGCTCTCCTCTCCGGTCAGGCTGACAGACAGGAGAAGGACAAAGCCCCCAGTGACTTTGCCCGTGCCTGCGGGATCCCACCCGGGCCAGCCCAGATGACCCGCTCCAGCACCTCCGTTGCTGAAGGGCTGTCGGCACGGCCGAGCGGCACGAAGGAGCTGGTTCACTTTGGGACAGAGCTTGATGAAAACCCCAGAAATAGGAACACTTGAACCAGTTCCCTCCGCCGGGTTAGTGCCCGAGGGTGAGGATGGCTTCGCGTACAGAGAAGGAGCCTCGGAGCAGGGTTTCATGTTGCAGAGCTCTGTCGGTTTTTCCCTCCCAGTAAGCTGGCGGTCTCTTGTTTAATTAGCCCAAGAAACCCCTAACGGGGTGCCAGCGGGGTTTGGGACACAAAGCAGCGACGTTCCCGGGAAGCTGCCTTCCTCTTCGTTTCGGTGCCCGGTCAGAATTCCCTCTCCCCGTGACCCCGAAACGGAATTGTTGGGGGCTCTTTTCAGGCCGAGGGCGAGCGGGCAGCGAGCGCCCAGGGGCCGTCCGACCTCCGTCTGCCCCGGGGAGAGCGGCGCGACCCCCGGGGGCACCGGCTCCCTCGCCGTTGTTGGCGGAGCACCCCGCCACCCCTCTCTCCTCCCG